CCTCCTTCCATGATCTGTAGACTCTCCTCCTGCACTGGAGTTTGCCCAGCAGATCCCTGTTTAACCATGCAGGTCTCCTGGCTCCAGATACCACTAGAATAAGAGTTATGGACAAATTCAACCTTAATTACAACAACAATAAAACTGAGGGGCTCAGGTCACACATTGTGTGTTACAGCCCCAGCCACTAAAACTCAATAGCTATGCTTCAGTTTGAATTTAGCGTTACAAGGCGAGATTCACTCAGCTAATTTAAGTTATCTAAAACTTATGGTTCCAGCCTTAGGCAGTCATGGCAGGTCCCCTTTATTGTCAGTCTCTTCCAGGGGCAGAGAAGCTCCTTTGGATATGTCACTCAATCTCACTCATGTTGTCCATGACAGAGGGAACGAATCTCCCTTTGGAAGTATTAATCTCTCACTGCTGGTGATGGGGGTGATATACACTACTGCTTGAGTGCAGGTGCTTAGAAATCTAAGCCTAGATAAGGTAAACCCCATCCTGCCACACACACATAAGCATCCAGCTTGAAGCAGCTTTGTACCTGTTCATTTAAAGGTTCAGAAAATAGGTACTCCTCCTTACATCCTTATTCAAAAACTATCTATATTTTAGGCTGAAATGTTATTAATCAAAACCAAAAATAAGCCCTGGATAGGGAACACAGGGAATAAGGGACAGAATCCAGTTTCTCTTTTCTCCAAGGAATGTAGAGTAAGCTAGAGACCAAGCATCCTGCTTGTACATCCAACTTCAAGAGCAGTAGGCAAATCAGCCCTCCAGTTTTTCCCAAAATGGTCTGCATCCTGGTAATCTGGGTGTTTTTTGGAGGTGTGTGTAGTGGGTGTTTTAATCACATCAGGGTGTGATAGAAGCTGAAAGTGCCACCGCATCTTAGATGCAGCCTCTGGCTGCTGGTAGACTATTATGTTAGACATGAGCATCAACATCTCCCTTTGTTCTAGGAATGCTTCGTGAAAGAAAAGTACTTGTCAAACTCTCCTCATTTAAGAAATAGATGAGGGCCCCTTCTAGCAGCAAAGGATGCCTTCCCTGCTTCCGAGAGTTGCATGCACACAGTTGGATGCTGCAAGTAGCCAGTTACATTTGAAGAAAAGCTTTGAGGCACTCTTTTTTTCCCCCGCTGGATAGAGGTAGAAGGTTCCCTGCTGTGCCCATGTGGTTTTGGATCATTATTTTGGGGTGACTGACTCAGCTCATGAGTTCTACATGTCTTGACTCCTAATTCGGGGCTTTTGCAGACACTCTGGTAACACCTAAATGCTTTAATGCATCTGCCTCATGCTTAAGTCCCAACCTACAGAGTGTCTAGGCTTGTGGAAACAGGTGGGTGAAAAAGATGCAAAAGGGCAGAAGAAAACTGGGAACTAGATGTAATACTAAGACAAGCATTTGAACAAAAAGTACCAATAATAAACAGTAATGATTTACCTAAAAAACCCTACAGATCTACTGAAAATAAGGGCCTGACTCTGCCAGCCTTTTCAGGATGAAATGCGGATTATAGTAACTGCTGGCAGGGGAAAGTACAACTCAGAGTGAGTAGGAGAGTGAGAAATGTGTGGAGTCTATGCATGTACCAGAATTCAAGAGTGACATGACATCATATGGATGGCAAGAATATTCAACATTATTGCAATTAATGGTGAAAAAGAACGGTTGAGAGAGTGTTAAATCTTGTGCTTCAAGGGCAGCTTCTAACAACAAGAGGCCAAGAGGAAATTTAATACGGCAGTGCAAATTACTCCAGGTATTTTTCTACATCTTCCCCTGAAGTATCTGATGGTGACCAGTGTCAGAGACCAGATGCTAGACTGGCAAGATCTTCTGTCTGCTTTAGTCTGGCAATCCCTATAAAGGGTAGATTTTTGAAAGTTGGAGACAGTTGATGTCTGGTTTCTTTTAACAGAGTATAAATTTAGCATCCTCCTTCTGAATTGAGCACTTAGGTGGCAGAGTTAATGTTATATAAGTTCAAATGAAAGATGCTAGGAGAAAATAGAAGGGGAAAAGATTAATATTTGAAAATTAGAAAGTAATTTTCAGTAACAGAGGTGGACGGCTGGTTGAAAAACATGTAAATTAAGACCTACAGAAAAAAAATTGCTCCCTGTAGAGAAGTCATTAGGAGTGATATAATAATTTACATTTTACATAAGTGACATTCTTTTAATTTTTTTTTCCCTTTTCCACTAAAGGTTACATCCCTATAAACATGCAATTCAAACTGCTATCACTTTGCATTGAAATTGATGAGGACAGCAGGCACTCAGCATCTCTCTGTAGGTGCTTGTTGTGTTGGACCTGGCCTTTGTTTTCACAACCAGCAAAGCAACAGCAAAAATTGCACCAGCTGCAGGGAAGCAGAATTTGTTCCTGCCAGCCAGGCATAGCTTAGCAACAGGATTTATAATGCGTACATGCAGGGAGAATCTTTTGATTTATTTCAGGTAGCAAATATGTCTTTTTCCAGTCATCTCTGTATACATACAAATATTTGAAAATATAAGTAAGAGAGACTCTCAGTCTCCTGAACACATATATCCTTCCAGACCCTTGCCTGACCCCAAAGTTATGCTCTCCTCTCACTGACCCGTCTAATCACCTTTGTGCTGCTTTCTCAGAAAAGGCCTGGGAAAACCCATCAGCTTTGCAATGTAATCTGAAGGTCAACACGTGTTCATTTCCTTGGCCAGTTTTTTCTTTGACCACAACTTAACATCAGGGCACTCAAAAAGTGCTACAATTTATAAAGCTGTCATTTTGAATATTTCAAACAGCATTCAAAATTTAGTGTAACTAACTAGAAGTCTTTATAGCTGAGTCTAAGGAATAAGTACAATAATTTTTGCAGAATAACACGGGAAATTTATTTTTGTTTAACAGCAAAGAAGAAATATCAGCAACATCTGACGATGACACATGGAATAATTCAAGGCCTTCAGGTACAACACCCAGTTTAATTTGTTCTTCCTTACTGCACATGTTAATTAAAAAATAGTGTAACAAACAACCTCATGGAAATTATTCAAGTATGTTTTTGTTAACTCTTCAGACATAAACATCCCAGAGATCATTTATTCACAAGCAGAAGACAAAGACACCAAACCAGCTAATGAAAATATAAAAGATAAAAATGCAGAATACAACCAGAGTGATCACGAAGATGATGAAAAAGAATTAGAGTTGCTGGTAAGTGTTATACAATTATATCTACAGTATTAAACGATATGAATTCATTTATGCTTCAAAGCTGGTGAAATGCCCCCTTTTAACAGAGCTGACTGATGTACTAATTTACAAATGTAAAGCCTTGGTCTCCACTTTCATTGAATCTCTAACTGATTCAACAATAGAAGGTGCTTTGATTTCAGCATAGTGCATCAACTTTTTCTTAAATTAATGACTTCTCACTTTTACTTCTTTACCAGAGGCTCTAAGTGACAGTTTGAAGAAATTAGAAGAGTAGCATTTCAAAAATTTCTCCTCCTAGTCTCTAGGATGGAAATATTCTTAAATAAATGCTTTATATTTGGTAATATTCTTATATTTATGGTACAGTTTGCTTTTGGAGTTTTTCTAAGGATAACTATGTAACATGCTATATAAGCAAAATAAATAAATATATATTTACATTAGCAGATTTTTCTATATCAGTATTTGACATTAAATTTGTTATAATAAATTTCACACTCAGTGAACACTCAATCTGTTTGGATTTGTGTGTGTGTGTGTGGTTTGGTTTGCATTTTTCAGTATGAAAGGAAGAATAGCAATAAATGAGACATGTACAGCGATCTATTATTTTCAGTGTCTGTTCTCAGCTCATATCATTTGGGTGCATAGATTCATAATCATAGATTATAATAGCTATCACCTGTGCAACTGTGAATGCTGAATCAGACAGGAGAGGAAGATGAGAACCATCCTTTTTTTTTCTTATTGATAGGAGAGAATAAATGCTTCTTATTTGAATATAAATTTTTCTTGTCTTTTGCTTAAAAAAGTTGAAAATTGTCACCTATTGTGGGACTTTTCACTGCCTGAAAGTCAATATGTCCTTTTTGTTTTTAATGGTGAAAAAGGAAGCCGTCTAAAATCTCTTGTTGTTCTCAGTCCACCCTGTTAGAAAAAGCAGGATCAAATATAACCGTTTGTTTATCAATTGCCTGGATTGTCCGTACAATAAATGAAGAGGAGCTATAATTTAGATGTTAATTTGCACTATGTGCTCTTTAATGAATTAAACAATGAAGGCTTATAATAGATGGAAATACAACCAAATCTTTGAAACGCACAGGCATTGGCTCACAAGACAGCTGTGCAGTTGACAAGTAACATGAGCCTTATGTGAGAAGAAGGGGAAATCATAAGATTTGCATATAATTATTGAGATCATGCAAATGTCAGTTATGAGGAGGGGAAAAAAACACAGGCATTTCACTGTTAAATCCTGACAGTTGGCATCACCGAAGAACTCAAATACACTTGAGCACTGGTTGGCAGAGGGTCATTAAAACAGAATTTGCAGAGACATTAGCTCCCTCACTTTTCTTTGAGTGACGTTTTACTATTAATAGTTTGCAGAGGCTTTGCAGAAAACATATTAATAAGAGAAACTGTAATGGGGGTATCTACAGCAAGTGCAAATGCATAAAGGGCTGCCCAAGAAGCTAGCCTCTAATTGATCAGCTAGTGCTATCAGTGCAACTATGCTAAAGTGAGAAGAGAGTGCAATGACAAGCAGGCATAGCTGAATAATACAATATGATATTTGGGAGCTAGGAGAGAGTGATTAGTTTCTGGCCTTTTACTTAGCTAATCTCATTTCCAACTCATGTCTTACCAGATTGTCTAAAACCAGTCTGGTTCGAAGCCTGTAAAATGGTCCCTGAGAGAAAAGAAGCACAGATAATCCTTACAGTATTTGTCAGTGTGAAATGTGTCTTTGTTTTACTGGACAATACTGTACATTGCCAGGCTTTGATGTACTGTATCAATGCCCTTGTTTAAGCGCCAGTCTTCCACCCCTGCCTCATGCATACCTCTCTCCAAACCTAGAACTGAATGTGTAGAGAATGAATTAGCCTCCCTTTAAGGCAATATTCTCTTCAGATTTAATTTGTATAAAATGCACTAGCAGCTTACTGAACTCATGAATAAAGAGAGAGGGTTCTGAATGTTATTTTATTTCCTGTTCCTTTCAGCACCACCATAAAGCTCATTACCTATGTTAAAAAATACATACAATGCAAATTTTGCAAATGGTTTGGAACACGTTTACATAAAAGCTTTGTTACTGAAAACAAAACTTTCCATAATGAAATCCTGCTTCCTTCATTTGGCATATTTTTGCAAAGTGCTTTTTGATCATTCTTTTCTATTCTATTGTTTCAGCTAAATCAGCACTTCACAGAAGCTAGAGGTACCTCTTCCAGAGACGAAAGGAATTTATACACAACAGAACCAGTTAATTTTCCAAGTGAAACTGAAAGATTGGAGAAAAAGCTAACCTGTATAGAAGGAAGCAGTGACTTGCTTAGGCACCCTGTGCCTATCAGTTCCTCACCTGAAAACACTTCACGAGAGATAGGAGGAGAATTAAAAGATAGAGTTAAGTATTCCCTAAGAGATTTTGATAGCCAGCCATCAGGGAAGGAAGTTGCTGCTGGCTTGGTAAACAGCGGTGAGCGATCTTTGGAACATACTGGCGCTAGGGAAAGCCTTTTATCGGCAAGATATTTTCCTAGAACAAAGCAGAATGATATGGCTACTGTCTCAAGCCGCCAAGGAGAGAGCCACAGAGATGTTTCAAAAGGTGAAACAGATAGTGCCTCAGGAAGCCAGATGACGGAGAGGTTATTCATCAGTGAGGATGCTGCTGATACCTCGAAAGGGGCCTGTGAAGCGAGACCAGAAACCATTTCTCCAGAGCATGATGAATCCATGCAATTAAATGCATGCATAGCAGGAACACTGGATGGCAACGCTAATCCAGCTCTGGAGCACCAGGCGCTGCAAATGTCTCACCAAACTCTGGATTCAAGGTTGTCAGATGCTGACAAAAATGAAGGAAAAATTGAGATGATTGAAAGCAAAGTTCAGGTACATTTAAGAGGAGATATGTATGCCAACACTTTTGCACATGCCGATGTCTCAATAGATTCCACAAAAAGCCAACATATCCAAAAAAAGGGAGCTGGTGAAATGTGGGGAAAGAACTATAATGTTGATGCAGGGAAGGAGAAGAAAGTCATCGAAGTAGCAGACTTAGCAGTAATCGGCGAGGAGGAAGCACCCAAGCCTTTCAAGTCACATAGAAAGCACACCTCCGAAGCGCTGAACACAATGCCTCTGTCAGCTGAAGACAACAGACAGACCCCCAGGCCTGCCCAGGCAGATCCCCCAGCATCCTCTCTGGGGGATGAAAGGAGAGCTGCAGACACTTGGGAACACAGAGGATTCACGAGGTTAAAAGACAGAGGAAAGTCAGATGACGCAAGTAAAGGAAGCCTGCTAGGAAATGAAAGCGAAGCAAACCCCGCAGAGCAGAGGTGGCAAGAATTGGGCACCGAGGTTCGGTGGGGAGTGAGGGGGAGCACAGGGCCCCAGAGCACTGCTTCCACAAAGGAGCTGTTTACCTGCCAGCAGGCAGAGAGCTGTGCAAAGTCTTCTGTCTCCGAGCAGGGTATTACAGAGGAAGCGGAGGCAGGTACAGCTTATATAATTAAAACAACATCAGAAAGTGCTCCAGAAAAAATGTCTGCCAGTGAAAAAGCAGTAATTGCTAAGCTACCTCAAGAGACTGCACTAAGTGACAGGCCCACAGAGGAAAAGGAAACAGCGTTTGATACACATGAAGGGAGAAATGATGGTTCACATTATGCTCTTTGTCAACTCAACACAGTGGGTCTATTATATGACACTGAATTTGAAAAGGAATCAGTTTTAGGTGTTTATAATGCACGCGTACACGAAACACCGCAAGGAGAAACGATGTCTGTATGCCATAGCAGGGAAAAATGTACCAAAGCACAACCAGACATTGGCAATATTTTACATATAGGAGAAGCAGTAGAGGCTTCTGCTACAGGAAAGAAGGAAGATTTGGGGCAGGGTTTATACTCAGAAGTGTCTAAATATCTCCCAAGCACCCAGAAGCATCTGTACAGTGAGGAGGCAGGAGCGCTTTGTAGGGAAGAAAACCACGCTGGTACACTTTCCAATTTATATGCTAAAGTGGAAACAAAAATGCCACCTTCTGATGCAAATGGTGTTCCCAGTTACCATTACAAAAGCTCTTCAGTGGCATCTTCTGAAGGGTCCACTGTGGCGGGAGATACGGAACATCGGTATAGACACTTTGATTTCAAAGTCATTGACAAGGTTGCTGCTGAGTCAGGGTATGATTTAAGTCTACCAAATGAAATGACATGTACTAATAAAAGCCTTTCTCTTGAAGCTGAAAAACAAGAAGTACCTTCCTCTTCAGACATAGCAATTTCTAAAGAAGGAAGAGACAGGAATATAGGTCAGTGTTTCCATCAAGCAGAGTTCAGACAAGAGAAGTCATCAAGGCCAGAGGTTTTGATTAGTAAGTCTACTGAAGAATTTGGAGGGACAGGCTCTCAGTCTGACCATTTCACAACTGAGGGAAAAACACTAAGCCGGCTTGATGTCTCACAGATGGAAAGCCAGCACATCTCTGATTCTGCAGGTGTTTCTAACCAGAAGAGTGAAGCATTGAAAGTACCTAGTGAGTCTCCAGGTTTAAAACATATTGCTTGCAAAATATTTTATTTCTTCTTCTTTCTTTTATTTGCTGCGACACTCTACCACTATGATTTGATAGTCTGTCTTGCACTCTACCTGTTCTCCTTGTATTGGCTATACTGTGAAGGAGGAAGAAACAAAGAGTCTGTCAAGAAGGAATGATATTGATTGTCAACTACGCTCAAGATCCATGGTCAATAGTTTCCAACCCCTCCTAAGCATTTTCACTGTTAAAAAGCTTATTCATTGTTCGAACCAAAGCAAGTTTTCCACTGAAGCATCTTTTTTAAAAGATTACATATGAAGTTGAGCCTTCATATAAGTAATTATACTATATAGGACCATTATGTTTGGATCATTAAATACCTGTATGAAAATGAGTTCTGAAGCACGTCAAGTTAAAATGAAGTACAGCTGTTTCTCCTTAGAAGGATATGAAGAAGCAATGCTTCATATCTCTTTAGTACTTAAAAACACCATTTTCTTGCATTAATTTCTTTTGCAGTAAAGCTTCATATTTTTTCTGGGAGTTTTTTCTAAGATTCTGTGTAGTACATAGCAACACAAGGAAGGATATTAAAACTAACTCAGTATTTTGGTACTGACATTGCAGCTGATATTCTGCTAGTGTAATTAGCTGATGCTCTAAGAAATATGACATCCATTGACAGGTTAAGATTTTTTTCCAAAATTTTTATTTCATTGTTTTGACTTAGAGCTCCAGTGGTATCCCTGTTTGAAAAATGTAAGGCCTTAACATCATATAGCTTCCAGGATGTAACTGTGTAGCAGAAGAGACGTGCTGTTTCCACCCTGAAGAGATCGAAGGCCACAGCCACAGGCCTCTTACCATTCACTCACATGTATGAATGTTTTTGTTTTTTGTCAATGAGCACTGTGGAACATGACTGAGAATTTCACTGAACTAAGTGTTATTCCAGACAAAGCCTTTGAGTTATATTTTTTAATCAGTGTTGCTTGAGCATATCTACAAAACATTAAATAAATTTTACAAAAGAGTGCTATGACAGTGTTGAGCATGTCTGAATCAAGTTTATTGCTTTTTTCTATGGCTTATTACCTAGAGCTAGTCAAACACCAAGAGAGAACACAGGGCATCACCCTGGCATTGAGTGAAGCTGTTTTGTGTGGTTTGGGTGAGGCAGAAAAGCCTGGTATGTGCCCTAAGGAGAGCCCAGATTGATTGCACGCAGCAGGAGTCCCACGGGGCAGGCATACTGGCGGCTCCAATGCTCCAACATCATGGGTCTTCCACATAGGGTCATGCCCAAAGTTTGTCTGGAAAGAAAAGTATGGACAGATTATGTTGCACTTCAGTCATATTCTAGATGATGGTCATAAATGCCATCATAGGTAGTATTTTAAAAGAAGCACCAAGGCTACATAGTGTTACTCAAACCCTAGACTTAAGAAGGAAAAATAGTTGGTTTTAAGCCATGTTTGTTTCCCTCTCCTCACTGCCACTCTGAAATACCACATCAGCCGTGAAAAGTTTGGTTGCAATATATGGCAGAAGCTACATAATAGTGAAGTTATTTAGTTGTTAGCTTAGCTCTGAAAGAAATCTTTTAAAGTCCATTTAAAACTTGTTCACGTGCTTCAGGATGTTAGGAGACTCTGTTACAGGAGGCACATTGGCATTGCTCTTCTCCAGGGGGGCAAAACTTTGGAGCATTTTGGGAGCGGTGTTTTCACTGGGGTGAGCAAATAAGTGCATGCTGACAGTTGGATACATAGACAACTTTTGACAGCAATCCACGTACGAGCTGTAGTGATGGGCTAGAAGCATTAAGGGGTGACACGGAAGGCTGTAATACTGGTCTAGATGTTCAAAAGTATATAGGAGCTGAATGTTCATTGAGATAAAGAAATTAATTCAATAGGCATTAGGAGCTAGATCCAATAAAAAGCTTAGGCTTAGACTTAAAGCAGGATTGAGGTTGAATTTGGTAAGTCCAAAACGATGACTGCAAACCCTTCTTTACCTGGAGACTGCAAATGGTGAAAGAACATAGCCTTTTCATGATGTTTGTAGGAACTTTTAAAAAAAACAGGACATTCACTTACTTTTAGTGGTTCCCTCTCTGCAGTGTGACAAGTCCCTGGTCTAAGTGGTTCAGAATTTCAGTCTCACTGGGACAGAGATGTTGGGTATTGTTTTGCTTCCCAGCACAGTGGGAGCTCTTAAGTAGTGTCTAATATATCTGACAGGATCAAGGTCCTCAGTTAGAGTCCTAAAAAGATGAAGAAATCACCCTGTATCTGCCCGGCTGAACCTGCCACCATGCAGTCAACTACCAGATTTCTGGGACCAGACAGCACAAGCACATAGGACATATCTTACTCTAACAGTTAAAACCACCATGCTAGAAAGAAGAACCTTTAGATTCAGTTTCCAGTTCAAAACCTTCTTCAATCTAATTCATCCGATAACTATTAAAAAAAAAACTAATAAAATTCAGAGCATGGACCAAAACCTAGGTTCTTTTCCTGTTAATGCTCCTATAAATGCTCTATTCAGTAAACCACAGGATTCAAACCCATGTTTGGATATCTTCAGCTTTAACAAACCTGGGCCTTCCATCCAGCAGGATGTACTTTAACCATTGGACTACTATTGTCAGGAGGATTGTAGTCCCCAGGAATTGGAAGTACCTCTGTGCATAGCTGGGTTCCTACTTGGTTGACTGAGTTAAGCTGAAAGTGGGTCTCAGCTCAAAATGATAATGTTGTAGTTTTACTCTAGCTAGCAGCAAAACATGACAACAACCACTTGCCCATCCTTGTCCCTTCCCCCTCCCAGGGATGGGGAAGAGAACTAAAGGGGTAAAGGGAAAAGAAACTGGTGGGTTGCAATAAGAACAATTTAATAACTAAACTACAATAATATTGAAAATAACAATAACGATGATAATAATAGTAACATATACAAATGAGTGATACACAGTGATACTGCTCACCACCTGATGACTAAGGCTCAGCCTATTATCGACTAATGATCCCAGACCAGGGAGAGTAATGAAAACTCAAGCTGGATATGAGCCGGCAGTGTGTGCTTGCAGCCTGCAAAGCCAACTGTGTTTTGGGCTGCATTAAAAAAGGGGTGGCCAGCAGGGAGAGGGAGGTGATTGTGCCCCTCTACTCAGCTCTTGTGAGGCCCCATCTGGAGTACTGTGTCCAGGCCTGGGGCCCCCAGCACAGGAAGGACGTGGAGCTCTTGGAGCGGGTGCAGAGGAGGGCCACTAAGATGATCAGAGGGCTGGAGCACCTCTCCTATGAGGAAAGGTTGAGGGAACTGGGCTTGTTTAGCTTGGAGAAGAGAAGGCTCCGGGGAGACCTCATTGTGCCTTCCAGTACTTGAAGGGAGCCTATAAACAGGAAGGGGAACGCCTGTTTACGAGGGTGGATAGTGATAGGACAAGGGGGAATGGTTTTAAACTAAGACAGGGGAGGTTTAGGTTAGAGATCAGGAGAAAGTTTTTCACCCAAAGGGTAGTGGCACACTGGAACAGGTTGCCCAGGGAGGTCCCAGGGAGGTCGTGGATGCCCCATCCCTGGAGGCATTCAAGACCAGGCTGGATGTGGCTCTGAGCAGCCTGGCCTAGTGGTTAGCGGCCCTGCAATATGGCGGGGGGGTTGAAACTAGATGATCACTGTGGTCCTTTTCAACCCAGGCCATTCTATGATTCTGTGATTCTATGAAAACACAGTCCCAGAATGGAGAGAAGAGCCCGAGTGTCTGAGAGACTCAGACGACCCTGAGAGAGGGGCGACTCAGAAGAAGACAACCCGGAGCAAGAGAGTACTTCCAGACAGACTCTATATTCTGGGTATGATGTGCATGAATATACCATTGGCCAATTTGGGTTTCAATCCTAAACTTAAGGTTGAATCCTAGGCTAGTAATTGGGACTGTACTCCCTCCTAGCTTCTCCTGCACCTTCAGACACTGGCACAGCAGAGAAGCTGAGAAGTCCTTGACTGTCCTGGCAGCAACTATAACATCAGTATGTTATCAGCCTTCTTCTCAGCACAAATTCAAAACACAGCCTCATACTAGTTACTATGGAGAACGTTAAACCTGTCTCAGCTGGAACCAGGACAAACAGCTACTTTGCTCTCCATTTGAGGGTGGAGATTTTGCATTTACAGCTCACATCCCAGGGGAGTTTTCTTCTCCCAGAGCTTTGGTCCTGAAAGAGACATGTAATTTCTATTTCTTAGAGAAATTTAAATCAGACCTATCTGAGATAGCTAAATAACTTTAAATATCTTGTACACGGGTCTTATTGCACTCAGAGCTGAGCAGTTCAGCCACCATGGAAGTGGGAAAGCACTGTTGCATTTTTTATTGAATCTTGGGGACTCCAAGGAATGCGCACTTTGGGAAATCTTTTGCTCTTTTACCTGGGAGCCATGACATCCTGGAGCCGTGGGAACCTCTGTATGGTTGTCCTCTGTATGTAATGTGCAAGCTGAAAGTAGTTTCTGTCATTTATTTCAACTCAAGATATTTGGTCTGTTGATAAAGATTCAGCTCAACAGGTTGGACAGCAAGAAAGGGGTTCAGGGATAATTGATGGGCGCAGGACTATGGGTGGAAGAAGGTTGTTGGTGTGAATTAGTCACTGGAGAACAGCAGAAATATGTTACGGAGAGCCCGGGAGAGTCAATATGACCTACAAAAAGAATGCAGGGGACAAACAGAGAAGATCTATTAATACAGACATTCATTTAAAATTAGTGGGCTTTTAGTGTGTGTTATATTCTATTTAAAACAGTTATTAAATATCAACTAAAATTTAGCTAAGCTACTTCACTCTCTACAGAAAGCTAGCTTCAAACAGCTGCATTCCTGTGTCCAACAGGTTAAACATCTGTGTCTCTGTCACTTTAACACGTACAGTCATTCAGAGTTGGAATTTAGGGTAAATATTTGAATGTTAGAATAAGCATATTTAATCTATATACAAGTGGAACACTGTTAGCATTTCTCAGATTTGGGATAGGATTTTATGTTCTATATTTAAGATATTTAGTCAGCATGTCGTACCTTATGATTGCAAAACAGGACTCTAGACTGATCTGTGAACACAGGTGACTGAACTTTCAAGTACTTATGTACTTAACAAAGCAAGTAA